AACAAAATCACAAATCCTGCCTGAACATGCACTTTATTTTTTGTTTAGATTATAATATAAAAATTATTGAAAATCCAATATATTTTAATGGTTTGGAACCACCATTGTACCTCCGTATAAGAACCTTCCACCATATAAAAACATCATATAAAAACCTCTATATGATAACATATATGTTGGGAACCAATTATTATTAAGCTCATAGAAAAAATACTTCCATCCAAGGACAAGCTCTCTATAAAAAGATTTTAGGAAAAGTCACCATGTTTCCAACAGGTTTCTATACGGAGGTACGACTTTATATGACAGTTCCGATAACAACGCTTAAAGGAAATGACAATAAAAGTGTTTTTTATATTAGAAGAACATAAGATAAACTATATATTTTTTTCAAATCGAACACCAAAATAATAAGCTTGAGATTTTTCTTTCTGTGTAACAACCGCAAACCATTTTTTATTCGTAATCGTTGTTATTAATATCGGAAATAGCAAACCATTTAATTATTTATTGAACTCAGTCCCTGACAATTCTCCGCGATAGTGATTTTAATTTGTTCTTATTAATAATTATTATTATTTCCGCAAATGTAGTAATGTTTTTCAAAATAATAATGACAATTGATAATAACAATAATAATACCTTTTGGAGTCTATATGAATTGACTTAAGGAAAACAATGTTAAATGAGTTAGATTGTTTCCCAATTGGTGGTGGTGCTATCCATTTATCATTTAAAGCCAATAACAAGTCAATAATGAAATTTTTTTAGTGGATGTTTTTTATTTGTCGAAAAAAAAACTACACAAAACCCGTGTGAATTTTTGATTTCCAAACAAGGATATATGAAAATTTAATTATGATTTGCCGCCCTTTTTTAATTCCCTTTTTTTTTTTTTTTTTTAACATGTATATATATGTTTGCAGCAGCATAGTATTTTTTGATTTTGATCGACGTTTGCAATTATCACATTTGCATTTTAGTCAAAGATCTTCGTGTGTTACATACATTGTTAATTTTGAATTATAATTTGTCATTCTATTATGAACGAATTAAAAGGATTTTATATATGTATTATATATACAATAAAAATATTATTAAATGTAAATAAAGAAATGCTCTTATTTTTAGCATATTAATAGTGAAGCTTTAGCCAGATAAAGCTAATAAAGATCCACATAATGAGCAAATCCTTAAAGTATTAACAAAAGGAAACAGTTATATTTTTATTTAGAAATAATTCATTTCAATTTTGGAAACAAAACAAAAATAAGCCCAAACAAATTATTATATAAGGGTCACGCTACTATTATGTTCATCTAATTAAATAATTAAATGTAAGATATATATTAAAGTGTTTGTTTTCCATCTGCACACATTTTTTCATAGATCCTACCTAATATCTATCACCTTTGAATGATATTAAAAATAAAAGTAATTCACACGATATTGTAACCCGTGAAATGAATCGAAATCTCTTTTTTTTAAACCACATAATTTTTGTTTTTATTTTGCAAATATCACTTTAAAATTAATAAATATATTATTAATAAAAATCAGGCGTTTTATTTGTATTTGTATATATATATCCTATATCAATTATTTTACGAAATAATGAGGTAATCCGTTTAAAGATATATAAAAAAAGTGCAAGTCATGACTTTCAACTCTTCAAAAGTAGTTTTGGAGACCAAAATTAGTTTCGAAACTCCCAAAACTGTACTGCCTTTAAATCTTCAAAAAGCTACATATATAACCTCACATCTTATTTTTTTTAATATAAAAAATTTTTTTTCGTTTGTTACCATGCATGTTGTGTGTTACTAAAACAGATTCGTATATATCACAATCGCATTTTTGATATAAATGCGGGGTATGCATGTATGTAATACATTTGAATGTAATCTGGCATTCTCTGCCATGAAAGATTATGAATGGATAATTATCTGTGCTATGACTCTCTGATAAACGATAACAGTATTTATTAAATAATAATGATATATAGAATAAAAAATGATTTTTAATTGTATTTATTTAATATTTTTATAATTATAATAAATTTTTCCTAGCTCTCTCACAATCTGGTCCAATTAAAATTCAGCCAATAAAATAAGTTTATAAATGTAAAACAATAATTATCTCGTTGAATTGTTAAAATTAATATTAAAAACAAATGTCAAAACATCAAAAAAAAATTTTTTTAAAAATAAAAATAAAGTCATAAGATTTTATTGGCGTAATATTCGTGATTATATCATTAGTTGTAACTTTAAATTTTTTTCTGGCTTTAAATTGTAATGGAGAATGAACGATTTCTAATGGAGAAAATAAAAAGAAAATAAGATTTAATTTAATTAATCAAAGTGCGAATGCGAGGATTACATAATAATAATGTATTAATGCTTTTCGTGCCTTCATTTTTTTAATATTTATAGTTCGCAAGGTTTTACTTTTTCCAAAAAAAAAAATTTTAATGCGGGGATACTTAAAAATTTTTATTTATTTATTTATTTATTTATTATTAAATAGACAAACAAACAAGTAAATATTTTTCTTAAATATTTATTTAGTAACATAATATAAAAAAATTGGTATTTAAATGAATTTTTTTGAAAAAAAAAGAAAAACCAGAAACCAAAAATTAAATACTATTTTTCTAATAATCGAACGATATTACAAACAAGGGCAATGAAACGGTGATTAATTACATTCTTTACGATCTGACGCAATAGTAGATGTATATATATATATATATATATATATATATCAAGTTTATATTTTATCGATATAATAACGTCAACATCAATGATCTGATAAACAGTTTACATCTCATCGATCAATCTCGCGTCAAAATTCCAAAAATCATACACCCTCAAAAATTTCCACTTCTTTGAACATTAATTAATATTTTACTTATATATCTATAGAATTATTAAAAATTAAAAAAAAAAAACAAAAAAAAAAAAATTTTTCTTCTTTATTTTTCATTCAATGGGGTTTATTTTATTTTTTTAAGCAGAATTTTGGACAATTCATTTATATATTCTGGTTAATATATATATTATATATCTTATAAAATAAAGTTGACACATAATCACGTAATGTAATGAACAATATTAATAAATTAGTGAGGACATTTTCATATTTCATATTTTACAAATTTTTTTTTTTTGGCAAAGACAAAATTTCTCGAATGTTGCTGCAAAAACAAAAATTTAATTTCGGGTTGTTGTTATATATTTTTTTAAATTTCCTATTTTTAATTCCTATTTTTTATTAATCGTAAAGTAATTTCTTTAATCTTTTTTTTTTTTCTCCTATTTATCTTTTCGATCGTTATTTCCCAATTGCCATCATTTTTATATTATATTATATTATATTTTATTTTTAACGATTTATTTATTTATTAAGATCAAAAATTAAGCTTATTTATTTATGGATTTTAATTTTGTTATTTTTTTTATGTCAAAATTGCCGACTACTAACTATGATTTTTAAGTTTACTTATGCAAAAAAATAAAAAGTTATTTTTTTTTTAGAAATATTTTTTTAGATCTTTTTTTGGTTGGTTTTTGGTAGAGTGATTGTTTGATATTTTTTTAAATTTTATAATAACAATAATAACAATATTTAATTTTTTTATCTTTTTTTTTTTTTCTATTCTTTATTAATTAATAATCTTTTTATTATATTTTTTATTATATTATTAATATACTTTACTTTTGGACATTTTTTTAATTAGTTTTTTTACCATAAAAATAAAACCAAATTATAGAAGCTGGTGTTTTCATCCAGCATTTTTTTTTACTTTTTTAAAAAACCGTTTCCCCAAGAGACGTCGCAAATCATGTGATTTATACGAATTTTATAAAATTCAGCATGCTAATCAAATTTACATACTAATTTCAATATGGATAAAGATAGTGCAGCAGAATTTTATATCAATCCTTTGAAAGTGTTTTTGTTCACCTTTTTAAAAAACCAGCTTTGTCATTACTTTGTCGTGACAGAGTGACCAAGATTTACGATGATTATTTCTAAATTTGACAAATTTATCGCGTCAAAAATTATTTTAAACAATAATAATAATAATAAGCCCCACAAAAAGGAAAATTTTACAAACAAATAAGCGGGACAAACTAAATTTAGAATTATTGCTATATTTATATTCCTCGTGGCGCAGATAAGTGGACCCGCACCAAAGTATATATATTAATATACAAATGCCCTTAACGCTCAATGATAACTCTTATTTTCAAATTCGATTTAAAAAGCTAGTTTTATAAAAATTTTCAGCGGGCGCAAATTAATCAAGTTATCTCCATTTTTATCATCTGTCAATGAATCGTGTATTCTGCTTAATAAATTCTTTAATCGTAGCCTAAATAGTTTGTTTTGTGTATTTAGACATAATTCCATTATGGCATATCTGTGTAATTCTCACAATGGCATTTATTTTAGCCGATCATATATAACTCAAAAGTTTGCTATTATATTAATGTTTTATTACTATTGACCCTGAAACCTTAATTATTAACCATTATGTTTTTAATTATTATCGATATTATCATCACCATCATTGCTCTTTATCGAACTAAAAAAATAATTTTCTTATAAATATTTGTTCATTTCAACCAAGCTGAATTTTCCCAATAATAAATTATTGATAATAAAAAAAGAAATTCCAAAAAAAAAAAAAAATCAATTCAAATAAACAAATAGAAACTTTTAGAAATGGAAGGAATAAGCCACAATTATTGCTCAAATTCTTATCATCTTCAACAAATAATGCAATTGAAAAACCTGAAAATTAATGCATTATTTTGTAGATTGTAAAAAAAAAATTCAATAAGAAAAATTAAACTTATATTTAAAAATTATAATGAAATAACCAATTATATATTTTGAAAAAAAAAAATCCAATTATTAATAATTCACCATTTAACAAAATTGATATTATGATTCAAAAACAAAATATCAAAGTGACTAGATTAGTAGTAATGGACATGGATCTTGATGAATATTCTGGTAATAGTAAAACATTAATATAAATATAAGGAAGGCTTGTGTGTGAGATAAATGTATCTTGATAATGATGATATGTATGATTGTATTGATTATTGCTATAATAATAATAATACATATATGTGCATATTACACTACAATAAAATCAGGATATTTTTTATTCATTAATAAAATTTTCAATGTTTCAGTTTCCACTAGCTTTCTATTACACTATCAATTTTCTTTTAGACGATTATACCAATAAGAATTATGGCTATTTATTTGATTGTCTATTTGTTTATTTACGAAATTACTTGATTTTTAATCAGTACCGTACGTGACCCGTGACTCTTTGGATTCCCGAAATAGTTTTTTCAATAAATTTCTTTTTATATATTAGTTTAACATGTATTTAGATTTCGGCAAGCTTAAGATTCGGGTATAAGTTTAGGCTTCGGTAATTTATTTTCCCTAAACTAGTTTCGAGTAGTTTCGGTATCGGGGCTTTCTCCAAACTTTGTCACAGAATTTCATGATTGCGTGGTCTTGGTATTATTATTATTTGTGCGATCAAATTTAGTTAATTTTTATTTATCAATCATTAATAAAAAGAAATATATCCATACATCACCCACATGAGAATATATACTGTGCCATATATACAAATTTGTTAATATTAATTTAGCGCCCGTCGACTCAGCCAATTGAATTTTATACGATGATGCAATATTGCTTATTTTTTTTTATTCATTGATCAATGCAAATTTAAAAATAAAAAAAATTTGCATGCAAACAACATTGTTTATTAAAAAAAATCTCCCAGTAAAACTGCTGTAAATTAAAATCATTTGCATCTGTAAATAATAAAGTATAAAACATAATTACAAAGGAAAAGGCTGATTGAAAACAAATAACGGAAAGATCTTTACATATGATGTCTATGAATCTGAAACTCACATATGTGACATCAAATTAGCCAAAAGGAATTCTCATCCAAACGCCTCCCTCCCTAATAAATTTCAATTCGCTAAGGAATATGTCGGCTGATAGAAGAAAAGAAAAAAAATTCAAAAGAGATTTGACAAATGTAACTCATATACACAAACAGGTATGCCAGATGGCAATTAATTAATGAGAACTTTGCATTCTTTCATTTTTATTTATAATAATACCAGAATAATTCAAGAGGTTAAAGAAATCGTAATAATTGATGTATTCAACGAGTGAATATCCGCCATGTCCATCAGGAAATTTTATTGAAGCAATTTTGTGTAGAGCTTACATTCCACGTAAGAACAATGTGAGATTAACAAACCCGACACAATCCTTACACAATTTCATATAGAAGAAACTTACAAGCATTCGGTACTTAGACTTGCTGGTTCCAAAACTATTGTGACTGATGATCTGAAAGATGAATATTTTAAGAAAAGTCTCTGAAAATCAAGTGTTCTTTTGATAAATTCATTGAAGGAAAAAAAAAAAGAAATGGAAAATCCCTAATTGTAGCAGACAAATATCTAAATCGAAAATACACATGTAAATTACTAAGAAACTATCAATGCAATGATCTCTCTTTTGAAAGGTGCAGTCAATAAAATTAATGGAACTCATCAGCAACCTGGTTCTAATTTACTAGCCATGATGGGTCAAGGACCTTTGGTAAGACATCTTCCTTGGCAATTTGTTTTCAATCTTCACATATATTACTCCCAATTATACGATCGTATATGTGCGTAATCATATTTCTGATTTCAAAGGTCGAAATTATTTCAATGTCAAAGTTGGATTGCAACACGCGTTTTGACAATGCTAATTTTGACTGCATGTATATTCCCAACGTACATATTGAAGTAGGTTTTCTGACAAAGGTATATATAGTGAAAAGTTCTTTTATTGGATCAGGTTATCTTTTTAGTTGTCTAGTAACACTACTGCCCCATCATTTATTGCTTCAAGTTGTGCCATCAAACAAATATCTGACGTAGTCTAGAAAGCCATCGACAAATGCAACCAAAGTTGGTGTCTGCAATCGGTTGTAAAAACAGGTTGCAACATCCCAATTGCAAATTTTTAGTTGCAGATACTGCAAGCCACTTTCAAAAAACGGACCGTTTGTTGTTCCTCATATATATATGTGTGTGTGTGTGTGTGTGCAATCCTATGTATAAAATTTATCACAATGTAGAATTTTTTATTTTAAATTAATAAAAAGATTTTACCATTATTAATTTGTTTACGTTTCATTTGATTTCAAAGCGTAAAGCAAAAGATACTGTTGGTATTTAACAATTTCAAAGGCTAGAAAATTTGATGACTCAGATTTGTTATTATCATAATAGTATATTTACCATGAAAAAACATTATAAACGTTGCATTTTTTCTCATCTAATGGAATACATATAAAGGGTTTTTTTGGATTTGTTGACTACTTATAGGTGTCTAAAGTGAAGAGTTTTTAGAAGTTGAGGATACTATCGATTGCGATTTAAATTATTCAAAAAACTATAATGTGAAAAAAAAAATCCAAATAAAGGGAAGTTATATAATCAATCTCATTGTTTTCCTAATATAGTTTATTTGGAAATTAAAGTTATCTATTTAAGGATATACTATATAATACATTTTTAACCTACATATTTAACCGGTCCGATGGTGATCAACTAAATGTGCGCATTTTTTATGTAACATAATTTCCGCACACAATTTCCTGTAAATCATATGATGTGGGACACCCCAATATTAATATGACATGATTAGTTACCATTTTGAAACATTTTTGATCAACATAATAATGTAATTGGGTGGAAAAGATGTTGATTTTTATTAATTTTTTAAAACATTACAACTTTGTTGAAAAAAAAGCAGATAATAATTTTGCGTAAAATAATAATTAATTACAGCAAGCAACATTAAAAAATTGTAAATAAAAATAAAAAGATTCAATTAATAGAAGATTGATTTGCTTTTCACATACAATAATCTTATAATTCAGGTTTTAATGTATTTTGGATTTATTGATCTTTTATTCTAAGATGGCGTCTTGTATGACCTTTTAGTTCATTTTTTTGATAATACGCTTTAGTGCATCCAGGATATTCACATTTGAAATCCTTTATTCCAAAATGATACTTTGTATGAAATTGTAGTTCACCTTTGCTACAAAATGCTTTGGTACATCCTGGATATTCACATTTGAAATTTTTTATTCCAAGATGACGTCTTGTATGTTGCTTTAGTTCATAATTCTGAAAAAAAGTTTTTGTACATCCTGGATATTCACACTTGAAATTTTTTATCTCAAAATGACGTTTTGCATGTTGTCGTAAATCAATTTTTTCATGAAATGTTTTTGTACATCCTGGATATTCACACTTGAAATCTTTTATTCCAAGATGATATTTTGTATGTCGTATTAAAGAAATTTTTTGACGAAATGCTTTTGTACATCCTAGGTATTCACACTTGAAATTTTTTATTCCAAGATGATGTATTGTATGTTGTATCAATTCAGATTTTTGACAAAATGCCTTTGTACATCCTGGATAATCACATTTAAAATCTTTTATTCCAAAGTGACGTCTTGTATGACATTGTAAAGCAATCTTTCCATAAAATTTTTTTGTACATCCTGGATATTCACACTTTATACTTTTTCTAACACCTTCTTCATCCTCATTTTTGCTTTCACTTTTATTTTTATTTTCGTTTTGATTGTCTTCATTGTTGTAATTGTCATCACCATTTTGATCATTATTGTAATTGTTGTTAACGTTATAATTATATTCTTCTATAATCTTTTTGATTTTATCGTCATTATTATTAATATACACCCAACAATCTATATATCAAATTATCATTATTATAATAATAAATATAAAGAACAAATAATATCTGATTACTTTGTAAAGTTACCTTTTTGAAACATTTTTTATTTATATTATTTTTCACAGATATTTTTTTTAGAAGAAATTTGATTTGCCAAATTTTATGCAGATCCTTTTGTTGAATAAAGAGACATTAACATGCTATGCCAAAATCAAAAAAAAAGAGCATAAGAGCAACTTAGTAAAGGTTCCTCAATTTATTAACAAATATATATTTTTAAATAGTAATGCACTCCTTATTTTTTTATTCATTTTAAGTTCTTTACAATGTATTTAATCATTACTTATTACACTATGGACATTATGCCCATCAAATTATATCTACAAAATAAGACAGAAAAAGATGAATTAAAAGAACGTGTCTCTGTAGAACCTGAAAACTTGCCCAAAAAAATGCAAATGGGACATTCCTTAGATAATAACAACCACCTGCTTTAGTTATAAAAATATCTAAAGCATTTTCAAACACTGATATAAACATTGGTAAATAATCAATGAAGAAAATATCATCACCGAAACAGCTTGCCGACATGGTGATAATTTCGTCTTGGATGTTTTATAGTTTCAACATGACCATCTAAATTACCAACAAAAATGGATTCATATTGCAGACAGATAACAAGACTTTCCATGAATAAGTTTTCCAGCCCAAATATTTTCAAACGTATTCTTGTTGTCCATACGCATAAATTTTTTTGTATTGAAAGATTCATCAGGAAAATAAATCTTACATAAACCTACGTAGGGTTCATAATTGGCCAGCATTATGTCGATATTTTGGTAATCCTGATAACATTTCCGCATAATGCTGGTCAGTTTTAAACCCTGCGTAGGTTTACATGAGATTTATTTTCCTGATGTTTTAATAAAACGGATTTTATTATTATTCATCACACTCGTTTACTATGACAGTAATTTTAAAGGAGGATAAAACGTACTTAATAACCATTTTGACACTTGATAATAAATGTCTTGAATAAGTATTTGTGTTGTATCATTTTAATAAATTTTAGAATAATTCCATTGAAAATTTTAAATGATAAAGTCAATATAAAAATAATGTACGAAATCATAAAATTATTGGTGTTCATAGACTCGGACTATTCAAAATACACTGACATTATTGCAACAAATTAAAAAGAATGGGTGATTGAGAGAATTGAAGCGATTATTAAAATAATGAGTGGCTAACGAAATATTGAGTCAATTTTCACTTTATTTATTAAATTTTAAATTTTTCAAGCTTTGTTATTATTTGTCTTAAAATAACCTTTCATATTTTCCCCCGTAATGTGTGGTTGGCATAACAATATTATCTCTTTCATTATGAATTTTAGCTGCAAGATCTTTTTCAGTCTGGCGTTAATAATTTTACAAATGACGTTTTAACTTTTTGGTATTAATGCATCAAAATAGCATTTTTTTTTGAAAAAACTTTTCGATATTTATCATGTGAATTAGTATTGATGTGAGTAGATAACAGATACAACTGAATGAAAAGAAGGATAAATGATTGATTAAATAAAATCTCGGTTGAATTGATTATTAAACTTAAGTTAAATTTTTTGGAAAGATAAATAAACTTCTGACGCTTGCATTTCACCTCATTTTCAATATGTTTATCTGAAAAAAATATAAATATATATAAAGTATTGAATTCGGCAAATCATAATCACAATTGTAATGTGGATTCTCGTTATTATGAATGCATTTTTAAACAATTGATGGTTAATGTGACAATCTGGTTAACAAGCACTAAAATAAAAAAACAAACTAATATAGTATAGTACATCATAAATTTATTTTTCAAAAAAATGTGATTTATATATATATGTCTTTGTTATTTTCGATATGAGGGTATGTTGAAGAATTTTTTTTTTTTTTTTGAACCCGTTGATATATTAATTGAAGTTTCGCGCAGTGAATAATAGTATGAAACGAAAGTCATCAAGGGTTATCTGCTTAGAAGAATCGTAGAGCACAACGTGTCCTCGTACTCCAGGAATTTGATCTATCTTCCTTACATACTAATACACTCCCCTACAAAAAATATCCGACCACTTGTGCTGTGTAACGTCAAATGAAAAAAGTACTTGCTAAATAAAGTACGTTTTCTTAAATAAAACCTTTTCTGCTATACTAAGTAAACTCATATTTGATATCAAAACTCTATATTACGAAAATTTCAAACAGTTCGGTATGGTATTAATGGAAATATTTAACAAATCATCCAAAAAAGAAAATTTCCGATTGAATTTTTACATGTAATAAAAGGTCAAATTTTTTTGTTGTAATGTATATTATTACCTTAATAAAACGTGCTTAACGTAACAGATTACATATATTTACAACACGGTGTCAACATAAATTAGTTTATGAAAAGGGTTTAAAAAAGTATCCGACCACCCCGTAATTTTATCATATAAAACACTTAATAAAGTTGAATTATTCTGAAAACATCTTATCTGAAACATGTTAGAATCTTAAAGAAACTCGGGGGATATCCTCGTAAAATTCCTTCATCATCCAAATTTAAGCCCTTCAAAATACAAACCAATGCACTATATGACGCATTTACCAAAACGAACGTTCTAGGCGCGGAACATTTTCTCGCATTGGAAAAAGCATTGAAATAGGTACAATAATAAAGTCATATTCTCTGAAATAAAATAAAGTTACATTATTAATAGTTTCGGGCTCCTACCCCCGAGTTATTTTTTGTATTCTATATGATAATTAAATTTAAATGCCTTTTTTACTGTCTCTTGCCAATATAAATTAACGAACAAAATGTAAAATTATCCATTAATTTTTTTTTTTTCGATTTGAAGAATATTCTCAATGAGTATAACCTAAAAAATTATAACCTACTTGAGATATTTTAACAACTAAGCATGTCAGCTATTACAACATTACTCGTTGGAAATCGTTCTATCGGTATTTTTGGATGAACTTTTATCTATTTTAAACCCATATTTTTACTTTTTCATAGGAGATAATTGGACATTGTGAGTCCGAATCAACCAGAATACCATTATTATTCCTCGACTTTGATTTAATCTCTTCTGCAATTTTTTGTTCTAATTCGGTTTTAGCTTCCGCTATTGTTTTCAGTTTATTTAGTAATTCTTGACGAATCGATTTAGTATTACTATTATTTTCAACCATTGGAATTAAAATTATATTATGTATTAGAGATACTAGTACCGTTACTAATATATAGAAAAAAATCCAGATTAAAAATATCATAATAATAAAAAATCAAATGTGTCTTGAAATCTAGAAACCATGGGAAAATTACTATATAAATTAAGTCGTTTCTAGTAGACTTCTTGGATATTAATGTTATCCCGAAAAGATCGTGATTAACTATGCCTCTCTCTTCATTTAATAACCAATTAC